ACCAGGTCTGGGTCAGCAGAACTGCTTTCTGTCTGAATCACCGTTTTATCTGCAGTGACTGGAAGCATCTGGTCTGTTTTACCGGATCAACTGATCCGTCATCGGTTCACAGCTGGGAGGTTCTGGACTCACTTCCCGTCTGGAAACCGTCCAGCTGCAGCCGGAGGGTCAGAACCAGCAACATGATTTATCACTAATAACATTTATTATTACTCTAACGCCTATTTATGAATGAATGAATATGATTTTAGTGAACGGATGAAAAGCTGGAACATGAAACATCTTTTCTGTCAGCCTTGAATTATTTTCTTTGATCCAGAAACTTCAGACGTTTCATCAGAAACTGTTCAGCCACTCCTGTTGTTATTTACTGATAGACTTTAGATTAAAACTCTTTTCATTAACATTTCTGAACTAAAATGGTTTTTTTAACCGATATAATAATCTGATCACAACAGTCAGAAATCAGAAATCAAGGATTGGTCACATTAATCTACAGTTTCCCTCAGATTAATATTTTCTATAACTTATTGATGTATTTATTTATTCAGCAACTAACTGATCAAAACTGCAGTAAATGTATTTCACGTTTACTGCAGGCTAACTTTACCGTTAGCAAACGGATGCTAACATCACTGTTAGCATGCTAACACTAACATTAGCCTACCAACAGGGATGCTGTCAGATTATTCTGGTGAATTAAACATTATCACAAATCATTATAATAATCAGTTTGGAGTTTTACAGAATGTCTTAATCATCTTAGATTGAAGGTTTTTTATTGTTTTTCTTCAGCTTAGATTGAAGTTAAAACTTCAATCTAAGCTGAAGAAAAACAATAAGGAATTAAAATTCCTTTGTATCCTGAAAACATGCATCTGTGCCAGTTTGGCCCAGCCGGCGTTTAAATACGACACAGAGACACCGAGGGAACATTTAAAGCACAGCTGTGACTTCTAAAGATGTCCAACAACATGAATAAAACTGATGGAACAATAAAGATGCCAAAAATGTCCAACTGCTTCATGCAGAACATTTTAGATTGATTATCAACCCTCTGCTATAAAAACCAGTAACTGTGGCCTTCAGACAACCTCTGTGTGATCTGCTAATGTTTTATTAAAATTAGAAACCCGTTTATAGTTTTCACGTCGCCTGTCAGCCGTTTCCAGCTCAGCTGTGGAAACCAGAGGCAGGAGCAGACCTTCCGTAGAAACGTCTTTATGTCTGAGAAACTTCGTTCTGAACGCATCGCTGCAGCTGAAGGAACAAATGTGAAACTGTAAACCAGTAAATCCAAAGCCGAGCCCAGCTGGACCCGGTTCCAGGCTGTAAAACGGAGAAATGTTGTTCTGATGAAGCAGATCAGGTCCTGATGTCCTGTCAGGCCTTTATTCTGCTGGGAACTGAACCGGCGCCCGGTGACAGCGGCTCCGCCTCCGCTGGCGCGTTAAAGAGCCAGGAATCCCGGTGGGTCAGCTGGTGGTTATTTCCCAATCCGGACCTGGAGATGACAGACGGCAGGAATGTCACAGAGCCGCCATCGGCCGGCTGACGCCTCCAGAAAGAGTCCCGGCTTTGGTATAAATAGCTTCGTGCCAACGGGTCAAATAAGGAAGTTTGAAGCTGAGCAGCAGAGCTAAATCTGTTCTTTTACAGGGAGAGGAGCTTCAGGACGGAAAAACAGAGGCAGAATCCAACAGGACGGATCCGACCCATGTAGGTCAGGACCAGACCCGGTCCAAGTTCCTCCACCGGGGCGGAACCACAGACCCTGAAACCAGAAACTGGGAGGAAGTCTGGAAGTTGATCTAAACATCAGTTTGATCGTTTCAAACGTTTCTTCATAAAAACGTTTCCATCATTTCCTCAGTTCAGCTGCAGCAGATTAAAAATGAACCAAACGTCAGATGAGGAGCGACAGGTGTGACCGGATCCAGATCCGGTTTAATCCTGCAATCAACACAATTAGATGTTGCCATGGGAACAGTCATCCAGCTGCTGGTGACAAACCAACATGTCCGAGGACCGACCAATCAGAACGCAAATTACTGATGAGCCACCAGATTAAAGATTATTCCAAACGCAAAACATCTCAGGGAGCCGCCAGCCAGATCCGGATCGGATCCGGTCCAGATCCAGACCAGATCCGGTCCTGACCAGATCTGGATCTGATCTGGATCAGATCCAGATCCAGATCCAGACTGGTTCTGGTTCTGGTAACTCCTGGTCACTGACTGAATTGTGAACTCATCTGTACCAAAGGTTTCCTAAAAGCAGAAGGCCGACCCAAACCGGGTCATCAACAGAACCTTGACCCAAAACAACAGAATATCTGGGAAAGAAAAGGATCACGGTTCTGAAATGGTCCAGTAGTCTCCAAACCGGGTCGCACTGAGTGAAGCATCCTGGACTTTCAGAACCAACGACACAAACGGAGAGTTGATCCTGCTCCGTTGGGTTTCCTCAGAACCAAACGGACCAGGAACCAAACGGACCAGGAACCAGGACCGACAGATTTAATGTTTCTGGTGTAAACATTTTATTTACGTTTGTTGCCAAACTGCTGACGATGTTTTAGTTTTATGATCTAAAGCCCTTTGAGCGTCGATGAACCGGATGGATTCGCATCAAACCGACTTTTGCTTCGTTCCTGAAACCTCATGGCAGCAACTGGAAAAAACTCCTGGAGGCGTTTCTGAGTCTGAGAGGAGCTGGAAAAATTTCACAACATCGTGTAAGAAAGAGAAGAATGAAAACAATCTGCTTTCCAGTTATGAGGCAACAGCAGACAGGAGGAAGAGGAGGAGGAGGAAGGACGACAGAGATGCTCCAGCTGCTGGGGAGGCGGCCAAACGCTCGGGTGGGAAATCTGGGGGAGTCAACTGGGAGAAACACTGACTGGCTTGGAACCAGCAACCTCAGAGACGGCAGAGGGAGCCGAACCCAGGAACGTAGAGCTACAGCACTCAGATCCGGTTGGCAGCTCTGAGACCCTTTGGACTCAGACAGGAGGTGGGGAGCTGGTTCCTCCCAGAGTGGATCCCTCCCAGAGTGGATCCCTCCCAGAGTGGATCCCAGTTGTGATGGTCTGGGAATCCAGTAGGGAAACTCTGTGCCGACTGGAAAGAGGCCTGAGATTAACCCTTTCTGTCTCCGCTGATCTGGAGACAGAAAGTCCACCTGGTGGAACCGTTACGTCACCCAGGTGTCCATCAGAACTAGGTGTCCAACAGAACCAGGTGTCCAACAGAACCAGGTGTCCAACAGAACCAGGTGTCCATCAGAACCCAGTTACTGTAATGACTTTAACATCCTCTACTCAGGAAGGTCAGATCTGGAGGACGGCCAGTCCAGAACCAGAACCTGGTCCTGGACTGAACCTTTCCTTTCCTTTCCCCAGCAGAACCCTTGGTTGGTTCTGCTTTTCCAAAGGTACTGACACCCCCCACCATGACACCTGGGTCCAGAGACTGGCTTACGCCATGTCAACTCCCTGGAAACTGGTTTTCATGATTTCTGCCAGCAGAGGTGTGAATAATCCCAGATCGCCTGGAGCTCTAAGGTTAGCATCCCTGCTGCAGACGGCTTCATCGGCTGCCTGGTTCTGGTTCTGACTGCAGAGCCGTCTGGAGGATATTCTGCTCACAGAGGAGCTGAAGGGAAACCTTTCATTGTTTTCTATCAGGTCAGAGATGATCTTATTCATCTGATCAAAGTGGAGATCAGCTCTGATCCTCAACTTCAGGATCAAAACCTGCGTTTCATCAAACTGCCCACATCTTAACCCCGGTGGTGCTTTATGAGGATTTTCTGGTTTTCAGGGGATTTTTCTTTTGAAGCTGAAGTTTGTGTAACATCTGAGGTTTTGTGTAACATCTCCTCCTGCAGCTGCAGCTCTGAACCAACAGCAAAGCTAAAATCATGTTTGCACAACCCAACATCACCTCATTCCTCATGAACAATGTGATGTTTTCAGGCCTTCTCGCGAACTGGGACCTTCAGGGACGAGCCGACTGACCTGGAGGACTGGGCTGTTGTCGAAGTTGTAGGCGCTCGGTCGGCCCTCCAGCGTGGAGAAGGCCACGTTTCCTCCGGTGAGCGGCGAGATGTCGCTGAAGTCGTCGGTGCAGAGCGCCTCCTGCTCGTCGCCGCCGGTCCGGATGAAGCCGTGGCTCGGCTTCCTGTAGGTCTTCTCGCAGGAGCCGCTGTAGTACTGGTACGGCACCCAGGGGCCGCCCTCGCTGCTCCGCTTGTAGATGGCAAAGCTCTCCGGACGGCTGGTGTGGAACTTCAGCCGAACGTAGGTGATGTCGAAGGCTTTCCCTGCAGACAGACGTAACCCAACAGGAAGTGAACAGCAGCGCCAATAAAAGGAAGGCAAAGTGATTTTACAGACATCAGGCTGAAGTTATGAGGCTGGAGGAAACATGACCAACGAGCCAAAACCTGAAAACACACCAGGGAAAATATGCTGGACGTCTTGATTAACTTTAGCAGATATTTTGTTCTAAAGTGAAAGTTTTTCAGTGTCTGAAACCCAGAAGCTCGAAACCTGAAGAACTTTTGGCCAAATTTACAGAAGAACAGAGAAAAGTTTTAATTTATCCGTTTCTCTGATTATTTAAACTGTTGAAGCTTCTTCCACTGTGACGTTCTGCCTGGTCCTGGTCCTGGTTCTGGTTCTGGTTCTGGTTCCGGTCCTGGTTCTGGTCCTGGTTCTGGTCCTGGTTCTGGTTCTGGTCCTGGCCCTGGTCCTGGTTCTGGTCCTGGTCCTGGTTCTGGTCCTGGTTCTGGTCCTGGTTCTGGTTCTGGTCCTGGCCCTGGTCCTGGTTCTGGTCCTGGTCCTGGTTCTGGTCCTGGTTCTGGTCCTGGTTCTGGTCCTGGTTCTG